GTTTCACATAGATGTGTCCAACTTTCACATACATGTGAGGTGATTAAAACACCATAGCTTGTGACATCCTTGCTCTTCAACAGTTGAAGGAAGTCTTGTGCCAAGGCTTTCCCAATGCAGCGTAGCATTTGATTTCTTGACAGCTGCTTTCGTGACAATTGGTTATAGATACAAGCAAGATGAAACATTGGCAACCGCAATCTTTTTTTCTTCTCCATTTATCATGATTTATCTGTTTGCCAATTTGTAAGGATTTTACTTTTCTTTACACTGAATTGCAATCCATACCGAAGGCTGTAATCCTTGATGTTCATCAGTAAGTGCTTCAAGACCTCTTCACTTTCAGCAAGCAAGGTCGTGTCATCTGCATATCGCACACATGGGTTGTTAATACATCTTCCTCCAATCCTGATGCTGTATTCTTCTTCACACAGTTGAGTTTTTTTGGATGATTTTCTCAGCATACACACTGAATAAGGATGATGAAAGGATAGCTCTAGTCCTTACAACCACTAATCTACTTTCTGTCTCTGTAGATTTGCGTACTCTCAACATACAACATGTCTTTTGTGACTGGCTTATTTCATATTTTCAAGATTCAGCCATGTTACATCACATATCAGCACTTCATTCTTTTTATTATTGAATAATATTCTTTTGCATTTATGATGCCAGATTTTGCTTATACATTCATTGATAAACATTTTGGTTTCACAACTGTTACAAAAATATGAATAATGCTGATATGAATACTTGTATGCAAATGTTATGTGGCTATATTTTTATTTCTCTTGAAAATATAGTTATGAATGGAACTGATGGATCATATGGTAACTCTCTCTAGGCTTTGAAGAGCTGTCAAACTGTTTTTTCCCCCACCTCCTGCACTATTTTACCTTCTATCAGTGGTATATGAGGGTTCCAATTGTCTAGATCCTTTCTAGCACTTTTATCTGTCCTTTTTATTAGAGTCACCTTGCTTTTTATTCATTATCACCTAATAGAACAAGATAGAATGACCCACAGGGTTTCCAAGGCTGTAATCTTTACGGAAGCCGACTGTCAGATCTTTCTCTGATAGAGGGTATTTGCCCCAAAACATGGTTCAGGTAGGGACTGAAAAATGGATGGATAGAAATGGGGACCCCAAGAATGACACTGTTATATTAAGGGGATTATAAATAATGTCACCTAAAATAATGCGTATAATTACTGATTGGGAAACTAACATGCTCTGAAACCATTCACCCAAACCTCAATACAATGTTTAAAACAAACAAACAAGCAAACACTAAGTTAATTTATCTATTTTTATTGCTTCTTGAAAATTATATTCTGTTGTTGTTGCTAGGGGCTAACCAGTTAGTTGGCTCAAAGTTGGCTATAGCAACCTTGTTGATGTTGTTAAGTGCCATCGAGTCAGTTCTGACCCATAGCAACCTTATGCACAACAGAACAAAATACTCCCCAGTCCTGTACCATCCTCACAATTGTTCCCACGATTGAGCTCATTGTTGTTACCATGTTGTCAATTCATCTCCTTGAGGACTTTCCTCTTTTTTGCTGCACCTCCACTTTACCAAACATGATGTCTTTCTTCAAGGACTGGTCTCTCCTGACAACATGTCCAAAGTACATAAGATGAAGTCTTGCCATTCTTGCAACCAGAGAGAACCTTCCCAGGTGACACCACTGGGTGTACTAACTCAGAGCGAGTTGTTGGATGTTTGCCTAGTGAAAAAAATGTGTACTACGTAAGCTCAGCTCCACCCAGGGCAATTTCGGTTTGGGTTGGGGGTACCCTCTCGTATGCAAAATGAAGTCTTACCACTTTTGCCTGTAAGGAACAGTCTGACTATGCTTCTTCCAAGACATATTTGTCTTCTTGACAGTTCATGGTACTTTCAATGCTCTTCACCAACACCATAATTCATCAGCATTGATTCTTCTTCGGTCTTCCTTATTCAATGTCCAACTTTCATATGTATATGAGGTGATTGAAAACACCATGGCTTGGGTCAGGAACACCTTTGTATTCAAGGTAATAGCCTTGTTTTTCAACACTTTGAAAACGATCTTGGGTACTGCATTTACCCAATGTAAGGTGTCAATACCTCTCAGCTGCTGCTTCAATGAGCACTGGTTATAGATCCAAGCAATGTCCAACTTTCACACGCTTATGAGGTGATTGAAAATACTGTGGTTTGGTTAGGCACACCATAGTCCTCAACATCATTTTGAGTTGTGTCCCGTCAGCAAATAAAGGTTCTGAAGACTTTACTCCCACAGGCTCCACTCCACCCATATAGATTAGGGCCCTAGAAATAAAAATTCAGGTGGTTGCTCTAGTGCAGCAGTTCTCAACCTGTGAGTTGTGACCCCTTTTGGGGTCAAATGACCCTTTCATAAGGGTTGACCGATTCATAGTAGTAGCAAAATTACAGTTATGAAGTAGCAATGAAAATAATTTTATGGTTGGGGGGTGGTCACCACAACATGAGGAACTGTATTAAAGGGTCACGGCATTAGTAAGGTTGATAACCACTGCTCTAGTGGGAGGGCTTTGTCTATAGCTGTCTAGAATCATTTTATATGCATCTGTCACTGTCAAATGTCTTTCTCTTCTCCCTGTGTCTGTTCCTGTCTGCTGCTTGTATTACTCAGAAGTGAATAGAGGTAGAATCCACTCTTATGTATGGTCTAGTTAACATAACAAAAATGCTATATTTCCAAACAAGACAATTTAAAAAAATGTTTTTCTGTCTTTTTTACATGTCTGTTTTATTTTATTATTTATTTCCTGACAGCACAACAGTTTTTTAATAGTTTGAAGTGTATCCATTGTGTTAACCTTTCCTTCTTAGTTTTCTAATTCCAGGTTTTTAAAGATCCTAAACAGTGTTGTGATAAACATCTCAGTAACAATATTTACACAAATCCAAAATTATTTCCTTGGATAATTCCTAGAAGTGGATTTGTTAAATTGTCCTCTAGAAAAATTCTACCTATTCATAGTAGCAGTACCAAAAAAATGTCCATATTTGTCATTCTCTAAGTTCAGCAAGAATTATAATCAGACTAGGGCCTCACTACTTTAATAGTGGTCCAGAGTCCACTCTTTAAAATCCAGAACCTCCCCCTATCTAAAGTTGAGGGACTTGGAGGAAAGTGGTCACTAACCAGAGTGCTTGGGAGAGAGGAGTACAGAAGATCAAAGGCATGCATCTGACCTGAACACTCATAACTTTGTCAGTAGGTCCCCCTATGCTGTGGGCTGCACCTGATCTGGTTTTCAAGCTTTTCAGTGTTTCTGGGTTGTATTGGTTTCTGTGGCTTTTGTGTGGTCATATGAGAGTATATCTCAGAGGTGCTATGTCCATGGAGGCCCCTCTCTTGAAGCTGTGTTATATGCTTTTCTGTTGTTCTGTATGAAACTCAGGACTGATGAACCTATAGGGACAGCAAGTCGAATCAGGGGTTTGGGGAGAAGGGGTAAAGTTGGGGGTGGTGGTAAAAAGGAGACTATGTCAAAGAGTCCATGTAGAAAAAGAATGTTTGGAAACTGATTGTGGTAGCAATTGCACATTCTATTGGACATGATTGAAATATGGAATGATATGGTACATGTATTAAATCCCAACTTAAAAAAAATAAGTAGAAAAAAGCAGAATCTCAGTCCCCACTCCAGATCTCCTACATCTACATTTTAACTAGCTCTCTAGGTAATTAATAGGCAAATTAAAGACTGAAGCAATCTTTATACTTGGGTAATATATATATGAGTCACAAATTGAACTGACCCTAAGTCTAGACAAAATAAGTTCAGGAAGTTCATACTGGCATTTAAGTAAAAAGTGAAAGTGGCAAAAAAAATTGAAGTGGATTTTAAGAAAAATGCGTATGTGTTAGAATGCATCTATGTATCTTAAGCAAGTCCTGGAGTGGAGACGGGAAAGGAAATAGCAGACAATGTAAGTCAGCAAAGAAAACTAACACTTTCCCCCCAACACAAGCAACCTTTTCTCCAGTCTCATTGTTATCTGCTCATCTCAATCACCAGATACTGTAGCCCGTGGTTATAGTTTGTGGTCTCAGGAACACGTGGATCAGAACCACTTGCAGAGTGATATAAATGTGGACTCCCAAACCCCACTTTCAGGAATTCCCTTCTAGTAGGGTCTGCTTAAATACCCATGAATCAGCATTTTCACAGGCATGCCAGGGAATTCAGAGTCCCAAGAGTTTCAGAACCACTACACTTCCCAGAACACATCTGGAATATATTGTTTAAACAAGTACTTTATTTGCTTTAAAAGATTATTTCCAGTTTTAGAAAAACCTTCAGCTAGAAATCACTTTTTTTTCTTTTATCAGTTGTTAAAGTTCCAGCATGAAATGACTTAGTTTAAGTATTTGTTCTTAGCCCTTCCTAATTCTGACCTACAACAAACTGGCTAACTGGCACCTGACAATAACAATAAAAACAATTACAGGTTTGACCAAATGACTCTAAATTAGCGAAGACAGAAATAATTCTGTTTGAACTCTCCTACACCCTTTCTCCCCTTTGCTGCAGACCGACTGCCTTCTTAAACCAGTTCGAATTCTTTTCAGATGATGTTACATTTTTCTTTTTCTTCTGACTCTTAGGTAATATTTAATTTGAATTTAATTACAAAATTGCACTAATTTATAAGAACCTTGCTGATAGTGTGGGGTAAGTCTCGGGCTGCTGACCCCCATGTTGGCAGTTCAGACGAACTAGCCGCACTGCAAGAGAAAGAAGAGGCTCTCTGCTTCTAGAAAGATCAACAGCTCCGGCTTTTGTTTTCCTGTCTATATTTTGGTAAAAGAGATTTATATTGTGGGGAATTTTTTCATCAAATATTTGTGATAATAGAATATATTAATTTTAGATAAATATGTAAATCATATACATTAAAGAAATTATTTCAAAACTACTTTCAGCTTTTAAAATGCAAATAACTTTTTTTATGTAGGAGGAATCAAGAAAAAGTGAAACAGCACGTAAAAAAGGTACTTATTCATTTTTCCCCCCTTTTACAGTAGTTTTCTTGATAAAATACTCACATTTAATACACTTCCGTAGTTAAATTGCTTTTTAAAAGAGTTGCATATACATCATCACAATCAGTTCTAATGCTCCCTCCTCCCCCCACATTCATCATTTGCTCGCCAAATCCCTTCACCCTCCCCACCCCATCCCTCCCTGATTAATCATTGCATCCGTATTGTAAAAGGTATTTATTCTTAACACTTAATGAAAAAACTTCCTGTTAAACTTGCAATTCATATTTGAAAGAATTGAGAGGTTACCCTAATTTCACATTATTACTGGAGCTCAGACTTCATACAGGAGTTGGAACTTGAGAAACCTCAAGCCTATTGTTTGGAAACAACTTTTGAACCTAGATTCAACACCATCCAACGAAGGCATCTTTACATGAAACAACAATTTATCTCAATAAATAATGTCTGCCTTGAGCACTATGCCCTAGTGAAGAATGGCCTGTATGAGATGGAAATGACAACAATCTAAAGCACAGTGAGACCCCATTGAACAGAGGGTATATATTAATGGTGGTGAAACAATAGGGTCGGGACGGTAAGGAGAGCGACAGTGTGAAGCGTGCAACCTTTGTCGAGCAACTGTGCATATTGGAAGGGCCAGTGCCTATATTGTCACCAGAAAATAGCCTATCTAAATATTACATAAGAATGTTTAACTACCGTGACATTTTTATTTATATTTATTAATATGTGAATGAGTGCATTTTATACAAAAGCAAAACTTTCACTGTCATAGTATGAAGAAAATAACACAATCAAATCCCTATTTTTTCACTTCTTTGACACCAGCTGCACCTTGCTTACCTCTCTGACTTGAGCCTCCTAGCGCTCAGCCAGATCTCATAAGTTAAAATGGCACGGTCCTTCAGGCTGCTTAGTAGGTAGGCATCAGTTGCAAGGTTAGGGGATCCTCAGCTCACCTGCTGGCCATAGATTCCTGGGTTTCCTTCTCTCCATTCAGGATGCCACCAAAGGGTTCCTCAGCCCCCTGACTTCTGACCTGCTCACACCTGGTACTTCCTCAGGCTCAAAAATTTGCTTAAAGAACTCATAGAATACAGGGAAAGTGCTATAATTATTACGACAGGTTTATTAGAAAGGCTACAAATCAGGATCAGCCTAAAGAAGAGGTACATAGAGCAAAATCTGAAAGGGTTCCCCACACGGCGTCCCTGTGTCCCCAAAGGGCTTTTGTCACTCATCCAAGAAGAGCTAGTTTTTCCAACCAGGAAGCTAATCAAGACTTGATGTCTAGAATTTGTGTTTGTTTGTTTGGTATTACCTAATGAAATCCAGCCTCTGTCCCTGAAGGCCATTGACTATCAGGAGATGCTAGTGAGGGCTCCCTGGCCTGGCCACCCTGAGGTGATCATCACGAGATACTAAGGACAGTGGGTCTCCAGGCAGACTAAGGTAGAATTCTCTGGCCTGATCACCATGGGGCAATCATCTGAGGTAGTAACCTCAGATCTGGCCAGTTTCTACACACGTTGCTTCTAAGCATAACTTGTCATTCAAGTCTGGACTCTTTATCAAAATTCCAATGTTTCAAGGGTTCTCAGTAACAAAGGACAAATCACTTCGGGTAAAGGTAAATTCTTTATCATACCTATATCTTTAAATTATAAAATGTTAATATTTGTCTCTTAGTTATACCTTAAGGCAGAGGTTCTCAACTTGTGGGTCGTGACCCCTTTGGGGGGTCTAATGACCCTTTCACAGGGGTCGCCCGATTCATGACAATAGCAAAATGACAGTGATGAAGTAGCAACGAAAATAATTTTATGGTTGGGGGTCACCACCACATGAGGAACTGTATGAAAGGGTCGCAGGGTCGCAGCGTTAGGAAGGTTGAGAACCACTGCCTTAAGGTGTCATAGTTAATGCCATATAGTAATGCCTACAAGTTAAAAAAGATACCTTTGTAATCCTTTAGATATTTCAATATTATTTTTCATATTGTTTCTTTTGCTTCCTTCAACTTGATTCTGACTCCTTGTGATCCTATACAGAGTGTCCCATACTTTGTGAATGTTGCCTGAAGCAGGCAGTCTCATCTTTACCTGGAGAAGGGGCTGGTGGATTTGAACAGCAAATCTTAAGTTTAACAGCCCAACACTTACCTGGCAGTACTACCACGGCCCCTATTATTTCTTCCTGAAAATATTACCTCTTACATAAGTTTAGAAATGCTGTATGGATTCAACTTTAAGAAATAATATGTAAAATATTAAAGGCTAATAGGTAAAATATTACAAAAGGTGTGTAAGGATTATTTTAAAACAACATTTGCAGTTAGCAGCCCAATGCATAATCAGTACACCACCATGACAGTGGTAAAACTTATCACTTTTCATATTAAATGTGCAGCATAAATGATACCTTGAGAGTTTCCATTATCTAGGGTAACATCTATTAGTTGGGTCACTTCTCTAAGCCTATTGCCTCTATTGTGCTACAGTGCTAATAATATCTACCTTAAAGAATTATTGAGGTGAATAATTGCTTTGTAAATTGTAGGGCACTAAAGGAATGTTAGGGGTCCTCATGGCATAAGGGGTTAAATGTCGAGCTGCTTACCACTAGGTCAGTGGTTCAAAGCAACAAGCTACTCCCTGGGAGAAAGATGAGACTGTCTGTTCCTGTAAACATTCATAGACTCAGAAAACCTATGGAGCAGTTCTACTCTGTCCTACCGGGCCACTATGGATTGGAATTCCATGACAGTAGGTATTATAAGAATGTTAGTTCCTCATTTTTTAGTGTAGAACCAACCCATAGGCCTTTGCATTGTGGACCAAACTTCTTAAAATTTACCTGCTCATGAAGATATCTATTTTTAACTCATTTAAAACAAAATAAGGAAACATTTAGCTAAAAGTAATTTTAAAATCTCTCCCTTTTCTGATTTTGAGAAGCATTCTAGAAATAAGATTTCTAGCCTTAGAAATATTCTCTTGTTAAAGTGAGTTTTATACTATACTTCCATTTGATTTTATTTAAAAATAAGTTTTTCTACTATTATCACAAAATACTTTAACTCCCCCAATACATATTTAATATACCATATTGATGATAACAACTCGGACTTCTCTCTACAGCATTTTCTTGTCCATGATAGCCCTTAAAACAGGGGTTCTCCTGGTGCTCCAAGATATGAATGCAACACACGGGCACAGAAGCAGGGAACCAGTGGAAAGGTCTGAGGGGCTGGCCCCAATCCCAACTACATGGATAGCTGCCCCTTCCCCAGAATAATTTACTTCAGAGGACAGCACTGAAACTACAGTTCAGGAGAGGGACATGCCTGATGAGTGCACACAGGAGCAAATGAAAGGGGAGGGATAGAGAGAGTGGAGCACATCCTGGCCCACCAAGCCTTGAGGACGATACCCCTGCTCAGAGCAGCCAATGCACAGAGAGGGCCATATGACCCGTCCCACTATGAGACACGACATCCCTCACTGACCCATAGCCCTACAGGGGACAACACTGGAGACACAGTGTGAGAATTATGCCCCATCTGACCTAACCACACCAAGGCAAAACACTGAGGGCGTGCAACAGAACAGCAAGGGGAGCAGAGCAAGGAAGTCCCGAGGGAGTACCAAAATTAGACTTTGAGGCCAGGGTGTGGCACCCCATCAGATTTGACCTGAAAACACTCCTATAGGTCAACAAATAGACCATGAACTATTTACAGGCTTTTCTTTTTGTTCTGTCATTGTTTTTGGTTGTTATTGTTGTTTTGTTTTGTTTTGGTACTTTGTTTTGCTCTGTCTTGTTTTTGTGCTTATTATTGTCTCTGCAGGTATATCTAGATAAGATAGGCAGGATAAACAATCTGTAGGAGAAAACAACGGACCAACGGTTCCAGGGCGACATGGGAGAGGGGGATGTGGGTGAAGGGAAGTGGGTGTTAACAAACCCAGGGGCAAGGGAACAAGTGATCCAAAATTGGTGGCGAGGAGGGTGTAAGAGGCCTGGTAGGGTTTGATCAAGGGCAATGTAACTGAGAGGAATTACTGAAACCCACATGAAGGCTAAACATGATAGTGGGACAAGAGAAAAGTAAAAGAAAATAGAGGAAAGAACTAGGAGGTAAAAGCCATTTATAGAGGTCTAAATACAGGCATGGACATATGTAAATATATTTATACATGATGCTAGGGAAATATATCTATGTGCATATATTTATAAGTTTAGTATGAAGGTAGCAGATGGATATTGGGCCTCTACTCAAGTACTCCCTCAATGCAAGAACACTCTGTTCTATTAAATTGGCATTCCATGACATTCACCTTCCTGACACGATTGCTGACGACAAAGTGGGTGCATAAGCAACTGTGGTGAAGAAAGCTGATGGTGCCTGGCTATCAAAAGATATAGTGTCTGGAGTCTTAAAGGCTTGAAGGTAAACAAGTGGCCATTTAGCTGAGAAGCAACAAAGCCCATATGGAAGAAGCATACCAACCTGTGTGATCATGGGGTGTTGATGGGATCAGTTATCAGGCAACAAAGAACAAAATAATCATATCATTGTAAATGAGGGAGAGTCCAGAGTGGAGACCCAAAGCTCTTTTGTAGGCAACTGGACATCCCCTTACAGAAGTGTCATGGGGAGGAGACGAGCCAGTCAGGATGCAGTCTAACAGTGATTAAACATACAACTTTCCTCTAGTTCTTAAATGTTTCCTCCCCCCAACTATCGTGATGCCAATTCTATCTTGCAAATCCAACTAGACCAGAGGATGTACACTGGTACAGATAGGAACTGGAAACACAGGGAATCCAGGACAGATGAACCCCTCAGGACCAGTGGTGAGAGTGGGCATACCGGGAGGGTGGAGGGAAGGTGGGGTAGAAAGGGGAAACCGATTACAAGGCTCTACATATATCCCCTTCCCTGGGGGACGGACAACAGAAAAGTGGGTGAAGGGCGACATTGAACAGTGTAAGACATGACAAAATAATAATAATTTATAAATTATCAAGAGTTCATGAGGGAGAGGGTTGGGGAAGGAGGGGGGGAAATGAGGAGCAGATACCAAGGGCTCAAGTAGAAAGCAAACGTTTTGAGAATGATGATGGCAACAAATATACAAATGTGCTTGACACAATGGACGGATGTATGGATTGTGATAAGAGTTGTATGAGCCCCCAATAAAATAATTAAAAACAGAAAACAAAAATGGTGCTTCTCAACCTGTGGGTCACGACCCCTTTGGGGGTTGAATGACCCTTTCACGGGGGTCGCCCAATTCATAGCAGTAGCAAAATTACAGTTATGAAGTAGCAAAGAAAATAATTTTATGGTTGGGGGTCACCACAACATGAGGAACTGTATTAAATGGTTGGGGCATTAGGAAGGTTGAGAACCACTACCTTAAAAGAAGCTGAATTTTAAAAATCCACATTGTCCTCATAATTCAGATTTGGTCAGTACACTGTCATATTCATGTAACTCTAATTTTCTTCTACAGAAATTAAAGATCACCCTAAAGATGAATTCTGCTTTGAACTAAATAAGGTCACTAGTGACCCATCAGAGGCTAGCTCAACTACAAATTGCAGCAGTGTTACAAGGAACTTATCAACATTGCCATCTGATTCCTACTACAGCCAAAGCTTAGAAGCAACTGCTGACTGGTTTTCGGATGATTCTCTGGGGGAAAAGAACTCTGGCCTGCCTTTTGTCGGGGGACCGATCATGGAAAAAGTGTTTTCATACTTGTCAACCATTTCATTGGAAGAAGACTGTAAAGAACCGGTACTGAATATGACATGTGGTGATCAAAAAGATGACAGCATTAAGGAAATATTCTCAGGAAGAAACTCAGAGGTTGAAATACAAAACCTTCCACATGACAATGAATGACTTTCTTCTTTTGAAACCTTGTATTTACTGAAGTTGGGTAAAGTTAAAATGGAATGACCAGCTTCCAAGTCTCTTAGCATGTCCATCTACTACTGCACTTTTGTTCTTTCACATAAGAGTGCTCCAGTGTCCCTTGCTTGTTCTTATTTCTAGAAACAAAATTATAGGAAGAACTAAAGTGTTATTCTTGACATTGATCTTCACTGATTGTATCTCATCAAAGGACATTCTAAGTAATAGAAAGCTTTTAAGATATCTCAGCACAAACATTTTTAATAAAACAGTCACAGCGTAGCTTTCTACTGTTGACATTTTCAGTTTTATTTTAGTGTGGGGAGGACGGGGAATATCAGCTTTTCTAAATGTTAGACACATAAATCACTTGCCATTCGACTCCTATGCCACACTGCGGTGAGCTATATTGTTTTTGCCTGTGATTGTGGAGAAACCGGGACAGAGTGGTCTTTCCGCTCCCCTTCGCTCTCTAGTTCTTAGACTTGCCTCCGAACTCCCCACCCACCGAGCTAAGAAGGGGGGCTGCTGTGTTCAGAGGCACTTGACTCCAACTAGACACGTGCGAGTTTTGCTTCAGTCTTAGACCACTGATCGAATTCCTGTTTGGGTTCTGAGGGCTTCCTGACACCATGTAATTTTTTTTTTAATAAAAAAAAAAAATTTTTTTTTCTTGGCCCAAAATCCCTCCATGGAATGAATCCTTCTTCTTTCTCTTGGGAAGAATAATAAACAAAGTCAAATCTTTTGTGCTTAAATTGCTCATACCAAACATATCTCCTGAAGGGATAAATTATACCTATTACAATAAATTAAAAACATAACAGAAGTGGTTGACATCACATGGATTTGATTGATGTCAAGTGTCGCAGAGGAGACCTGCAACGTCACAGGGTTGTCAAGGCTGTGGTCATCAGATCTTTCTCCCACGGGCCTTTGGTTAGGTTTGAATGGAAAACCCTTTGCTTGATAGTGGAGTGCTTAACCATGAACTTCACCAAGAACTCCTAAATTAAAAGAAACTTGTCTGAAATGAGATAATAATGTTATTCCAGATCCATCATTTCTGCCCCAGGGTAAATCCATATTAAAAGCAATTAGAAGACTTCTTTCTTTTGAAGCATCCACCTGATTGTGAGCATGCTTGTCTATACCTACCCCTAAATCTAGGGAAGCTGCTATTTTAGCTTAAGGTCTTGGGTTTTCAAGACTGCAACTGTTTATGGGAGTAAAAATCCCACTCTTTCTCCTGCAGAGCTACTAGTGGTTCCAAACTGCAATCCATGCGAATCACAGGCCCAGCACATAACCACTACACCACCAGGGTTCCCCAGCTCTGAAAAAGATAGTCACCTCATTTAGGTAAGGGCTTAAAAACTCCTTGAGAATGCATAGTTGGAAATAAGGGATTCTGGCCTTTCCTGAATAGTCTCTGCAGTAGAGAGACTGTAAACTGGGAAGATGTGTCCTGCCTATGTGTTAGAAAGAGAATAAAGCAGTAAATATGCAGTGACAGCAATGAAGCATTTACCAAATAAAAAACAGTTGAGAGATCTGATTCCTGTTGAGATTCCTGGATTTATAACAGTGCTCCATTCTCTTGTCCCAGCTCCTTATAAAGCATGGCTATAACCCCCGCCCTTGCTTGGTAAGGTACCCCGGTATTCTAATTATAAAGTCTCCTTTTTGCTTAAGCTAGAAATATTTGATTTCTATTACTGGATATCATCTCTGATGACTGGCTTTAAGTGTTGTTCTTGGCTTTGGCTTCCCTTCTAACTTTATAACAAATTCTCTTTGCATAAACTAGAGTTTATTTCTGTTATTATAACCTAAGTTAATATAACCAACCAGGCTCTTGTCCATATTACAAATGAGACTTATGCATATAAAGTAATTATCAAACTATAATGATATAATTCATCGAATGTATTTATTCAAAACCTAGTGCATTTACTTGTTTATTAAAGTTTTACTCCATATCACATATGTGCAAATCATTTTCTTTGGAAAGTCCAGTGACCAGCACTTCTGAAATTATTACACATCATTATAAAATAGCCTTGGGTTTAAGAACTATGAGGGGTCTGATATTTCATCTGTAAGTATGTAAGTATGCTAACTTACAACAGTTTCATGGATTCTTATAGAAGACCTGAAATGCTTGGATTTTAGAAAAGTTTATTATTCATAGTAATTTTAGTAGGTTTTGTGCCAGTTTTTTGTGCCCTGGTTCCAACAAGACAGCATGAAGTCCAGATAATTCCTACACACACAGTGGATTACAGTACAGGACAGGGACCCCGAGTTCATGGAACTCAAGATATGTTATAATGAACACGAAGCATACCTGCTCCTTGCGGCACTAGGAAACATGTTCTTCACTATACTGTCCATAAGGCATGACTACATTTTGCTCCAGAAGGAGGTACTATTTCTATCTTCCATTCTGTTTGTTACATAAACATCCTTAAAAGATAGTTTAGAACTTCCACAGTTTATTTATTTGCTCATAAGTCATGAAGAAACACAAGAAAACCATGGCTAATTGTCTCCTGATGTTTTTATACTATAAAAATAATTATGGGGCCATTTGTATAGCAACTAATTTCATTGTACTCTTTATTCAGCCACTAATTAACATTGCCTTTGGATATTAGCTACAGTTATTTACATTGCAAATATGTACCTGAAAACCAACTCAAATTACCTAAGGGAAGAAAATATGTTGTTTCTTACATTGAGTCCAAATAATGGTTGAACAACAAAATGCATAAAGCATAAGTTATAATTGAGCCTCAGAACTAGGTGAAACATAGACTTAAATTCCATTCAGAATTCTCTTTTGGTACCAGTCAAAGTTCAATCAGGAAGAAAGAGCCACTATCATGTGTGAAATAAAGCATTTATTATAGGATTTTTTTTTTTAATTTTATTAGGGGCTCATACAACTGTTATCCCAATCCATACACACATCAATTGTGTAAAGC